TAATATGTAACCAATGAAAAAAGATGAATTGTGAAAAAAATAACGAGCGACCTAAAAATTGTTAATTTGTGATCGATACTTTGATAATTTGTGGACTGTCTAATAAGTTATGACTTATAATGTTTATGATCTGTGATCGATAGACAAATTGTGATCTATAAATTTTTTTAATTATGATAGTAAAATAATCTATAACATATAAAAATTTTGATCTGTGACCAAAAGTAATATGTGACTAATTAAATTTTTGAATTTGTGACCAAATTATATATATCTGTGACTTTAATATATTTAATTAATAAAATATATAATTAATATATGTGACTTTAATATATTTAATTAATAAAATATATAATTAATTAAATCATAAATAAATTTTAATAAATATTTGATTTTTGAAACCTTTGTTCTTTATTTTGAAATAGGTGATAGTTAATGTCTTATTTATGAATTTTTCTCTTCCGGAAATCTCTCTTTGTAGAAGACATGAAAGATGCTCTCTCTCGTCGTTCAAAGCATGAAGGATTAGACCAATTTATTTTCACACTTATATTTCAACTCTTTTTAGGTCTTAAAAGATCTTGAAAATATTTGAAGAGTCAACTAATGAATTGAAGACTTGCTACAATTATCACTCTAGAAAATATGGAAAATCATTTTTTCAATGGATAACAGATTATCATAAATATCTTTGAATTATTTGAGAAGTCGATAAGGAAAGTGTTGTGTGGGAATCACACATGTATGATATCAACTAAACAAGTAGTAAAGTAAATTTAAAGTGTCCAAATTATTGTTCTCATGAGCACTATCTATTTAATAATTAATCTGTTATTTCTAACTCCTATTGGAATTTAGTAAATGACGATGGAAAGTTTTTTATTAGAACGAATATTAACTAAGGAAAATAAAAGCAATTAAAAATCAAACAGGATGATTAAAGCATTACGATTGATAATTCCACCATAGCTATCACCTTCAATTTTACCTCTCAAGTTGTTAAATTCCAAAAGTTGTAATAGGTTGAATTCACTAATTAAATTAATTATCGAGTTTAATCGATCCTATCTAGTTAAGTCAACTCATTATTTCTCTATTGAATCCAAATAAGCATCGACTAAACATATTAAATCACCAAAGAATTCAATTAAAGACCGTAAAAATAATAAAAGTGTTTGTATCCCTACCTTTTATCCAATTATCAAATTTCACCATTTGGACTAAATTTACAATTCACTTCTCTATTTGTTAGAGTTAACAAGTCATGAGTCAACGATCAAGTAATTCAAACATTATTAAATGAATTAAAAAAAATCAATACATAAAATAATTAAGCCCTTGTTTGACACCCATTATTTTCAAATATATTTTTCTCTCTCTTCGTTTCAACCATATATCCTTCGGTAAAATAATATTACATGTAAATCCAAAAATTTTCATATTTTTTTAACCACACATTCTCCATCAATCTATTATTTCAAAACACATTCTTTACCAAATAATGGAGCTCAAACAAGGGCTAACTCTACGAGTCTTAAAAATTGAAATTAAAGGTTCACATATGGGATACGCTGTTAATCCCAACTAATGGTTTAGTTACACATTGTAGGAGAATTTAAAAAAAAAATAAAAAAAAAAATCTCGAGTACATCGCCGATCTTAAAAGAAAAATGAGAAAAATATGAGCTTTTTGTACAAAGAATCTCTCTTTTTTATGCCAAGTTCCTGAAAGTCTAACTTTCTCTATTCTATCTTTTTGTATATTTTTCTTTTGTCCTCTATAATATCCTCTTTGTTTTGACCTAAAATAGGTCTATACATAGTGCTCGACCTGCTTTGAAAGTCATGTCCTCAAAAGACCAAAATACCTCGAACATAAAAAATCAATAATTGAAAAAATACAAATAGGCTAAGGTTTGTGTTAAGTGTATTTTATGCACTTATTTGGACATAAAAATATAGACAAAGTATGTTCGAGTTCTGTATCACTTTGTTTCAATAAAAGATAGAAGAAGGAAGTGTGGATATATAGAAAATTTATACAGAGGACAACTTAGCAGATATGTTAACAAAGAAAATCAGTACTAACAAGTTCATATGGTGTTGATCCTTCATCGGCATAGTGGAAACTTAAATAGCATGAAAGCGACAAGTGTAGGAATGACAAAAAGATTACAACAAAAGTGACTTTAAGTGTGAGAAATGTTAGGTAAAACCATTTTATTTGACCACAACCAACCACAATATCGACATGGAATTTAATGCTAAGGAAAATTATTTCAAAGCCACTATTCTCATTTTACTACTTGATGCAAGCAAATTTGGTAAAAGTATAGAAGAAGGCAGCAATTTTCTTATTGTTCACACTAAAAATTTCTACACTTCAATTAATGTATTGAAAGAGATAGTGATGGCAAAAAACTTGTCCTGCCCTAAACGGGTTGGCGGGGTGCCCCGTCTCAAGGCATGGGACGGCGTAGGGCAAGGATGCCCTGCCCAAACCCGCCCCATGACGGAAAAAATAAAAAAAATAATTAAAAATAATTTTATTTTTAGACAATTCACTCGTTAAAATCTCATTTTGAATTTGAATTTTATTCTCAAATAGTGACATAACTCGAAATTTTGAAAATGTAAATAAATAAATAAAACGGAGCAAAAAGTTGCCTCTCCCCGCACCACACACCGCCCCATCTAAGGTGGGGCGGGGCTTGGGGCAAGACGGGGCAGGAGGGGGTGAGGGCCCTCCCGCCTCGAACCCGCCCCATTGCCATCCCTAGAAAGAGATTAGCCTATAAAGAGGGGATGATTGCTATACAAAAATGTATCCCATCTTCGAGTAAAACTTCATTCTCAGACAATTTGTAGTCTTTGAGTGATACGGTTAGTAGAGAGAAAAATAATAAGTAGAGAGATACATAAAATTATAGAGAGAAATATATTTCTCCTTTGTGTTTCCTACTTATGTTTTTCCTATTACAAGAGAGATTAATTGTTGTTATCTCCTTGTATTTAGAGAAAAGGTTATTGCAATTTTTTTTACTATAATGAAATCCTTCTATACTTGTCTGCAAATATAGCCTAAATTGGGTAAATCACATAATTATTTTGTATCCATTCTTAACTGCATTTCTCTCAATTTCATTTTAGTTGCAAGCAACTCTTGATCCACATTTTTCCTAACATATACAATATTTCAAACAAGGCAACCTATGATTTACTATTGAACTCGTACGTGTTGTGGTTTTCGGACTAAATTTGATAGCTTAGTTTTGAACGTTTATTTTTGTGACTAGAACCTATCTTATACATTCCCATCATTTATCTTTGTAAAAAATAAGTATTAAATATAAGTGTTTTTGACAATTCATTTATCTTTGTAAAACTTGTAGAGTGGAATGCAAATGTATGAAAATAACAAAGACGGGTAATATGGAACCATAGTTTAACGTAACCTAATTGAATATATAACTTCAAGGTAAACAACATTTTTGGTACATACAATGTCACAACATATATTACAATTGATCTAAAACAATCAAGTCAAAGTTGTTTTTTTTTTTTTTTTTTAATTTTCTCCTTTTCTTTTTTATCTTTTGTTTATCCTTTCAGTACTGAGAAAATATAGTATGTTCATTAAAATCTACTAATAATGTATTATTCTATCACCGTGTTGCACTTTCTTGCTCCTGGTCATAAACAGTCCAGTCAACGAATTACATCAGTATTCTGCCCCATTTGATGTGCAATCTTATATAATAATGATCCCAACAGTTTCTTTATCTGATGTTATTAGCAACCAGTACTCATTTGAAATTAGTAGTTTCAGTTCATATTTATATAATAGGGTGCAATTAAATTCATAGGTTGTAAAAGATAAAGAGTTATCTAATATCGTGTTCCAGAAGCCATTCCGTTCATTCTTGTATGAATTTCATATATTTAGTTTTGCTATTTTTTATTTCTTTTTTCTCCTCAGCACTCCTCAGCCTACTTCTCAAGTTGGTGGGCTGGACACTATTAATGTAATATAGCTTTGGTATTTTTTTCATCCATTATTTGATATACATATTGTTGATCCCCCTTCTTTTATACTAGCCATGTGAATAACAGATGTCGGGCCCACTGATGTTCACGAAAACAAAATCATGAATGTTTTGACGCGAAATACAGTCGGAAGCTCACAACGGTAACAAAAGTGGGAGATGATCCATGACACGAGATGAATACGTTCATGCGCCGATAACGTGATCAAGTATGATCACAACTATTATGATCAACTGCACACAACTCCACTGAAAAATATAAACGATTACCAAAACTCAAGCATGTAAAGCAAGAGACTTGTAATTTTGTGTGTATAAAGTTTGCATGTATTTTTTTCATCTCTCAAAGTATTAAAAAAACTGCTATTTATAGAGTTGAGGCCGACGTAGTTACTGTTGGATTAGAACCATATGGCCTCATCCCATTAACCAGGGCCTCACATCACTCTCTGTCATACATTAATAAATGGTCAGTCACCCTACATTGTATACTGACACTTTTGACATTCATTAATTTAAATGTTACATCAATCATTCCTACAAAATACTCTGCAGATCTGCTTTAAAGGCAGCAAATGCTTCGGCTTGGAGAGAGGGCTTCGGATGGGCTAAGGTTCGGCTAGGAAAAAAAGAATGGGTGCTTCAACCAAAAAGCATCTTTGTTCCCTTTCTTTATTTTGACCTTGTTGATTGCCAAATATCTACATGTAATGCCTCCACATGGAGCTTCAGATACGATGCGTAACACATACGTTCCATTTTTGCGTCAAAATTTCATTGCTATGTATAAATCGTTCACTACATTTATGTACAAATATTCATGCAAGACAAATGAAGGGCAGTAGAAATTCGTAGTTCATCAATTTATTGCCTTTTTAACCATATAGAAGAAAACTCTATTACATCAGATCCAGAATAAATCTGCTGCTCAGACTAAGATTGAGCACTAGGAAGGCAAAAGTTTAACCTTTATTTTGTGACATCCATTCTACAAGCTGTCATCTGAACTGACGCACTAATAATGCAATTCTTCATAAAACAAATTGGAAATTGAAATTTTAATGCCTGCAATTTATAGTAATTTGAGTTACAATACCTTGTCGCTCAAGCTTCCACTTAGAATTAGCTGTCCTTTTTGAGATCATGACCTGAGACAATCAAAGGTACTTCGAAACTGCTAAATGGAGGATAAGCCTTTATAGATAAAAGTAGCGAAAAATTCGGGAATAACTTACTGTAGGAGAGAACTGCAAAAGTTGTCTGCGTGATACTGAGTAGAAGCATGGAAATGGCAGCAAGCACAGAAAAGAGTGCCCATGGACTGTTAAAGTAGCTGCGTCTTAACTTCACCATCCATTCATTTCTTTTGCGGCCACAATGATTATTCACAGCGTGGAAAATTTTGGAATATGAGAACTTTTCAGAAATGAAGGTGTTTTCCCCAAGCTGATTAATGACTCGATAAACCATATCGTCACTTCCTAAGATATTGCTGATAATTCCATTACGCCTTAACAATTTTGCATCCTTAGGGGAATGGATGAGACAATTCATGAAGAACACATAATCTGTCACATATTTTTTATTACTTCCTGTGAAGTAGTGTTCATATGCAATGAAATTTCTAAACAATGATTCTGTCACATCAGAAATTTCCCATGCTGGAATGCTCAGAGCTTTATTCTTGAATTTAATATGAAATAAACTGTTCTCTTCTGACTTTCTGAACGTAATTCCTGCCTCTTGGAGCCCTATTGCTGAATCTATTTTCTCTGTATTATATTCAGAATCAATATAATATTTTATCTCTGCAAATGATGAACAATGGATATTATGTACTATGCCAAGGAGATGGGGAGCCTCTGGGATTTCATGAATATCTATCTTTGGAAAAAACGATCTTCCAATTTGTAGCAAAGGCCATATTATATAATTGATGTCTTGATTATCCATCTTAGTCATGTTGAATAAAAGATCGATGATAAAAAATGGAAGTTGATTCTCAATTACCATGAGATCATGTAGCAAAAATCCTTGTATATGTCTGTATCGAAAAATAGGGTCATCCTTATCTCGAAAATCTTTTTCTTGAAATTTACGAAGGAATTCAATGACAAAACAACCATCAAGTAGCAACATTTCGACAAACTTGTCTCGGTTGAATTGGATAGCTTCTCCAAAGCATTTTCGTGCTCGATCTTCTATCTCCCTCATCGCAATAACATATCTTTCTGCGCTCGACTCGTTTCTCCTCTGAAGCAACTGTTTTAGGTACCTGACTTTGTGCTGCTCCATGTTTTGCAGCTGAACTTTACCGTGGTGAAAAGGACCAATAGCTATTATTTCTGGATCGTAAGCCTTGGGATTTGTGCTGCGTAATTGAACACTGACTCGCAAAATAGTGGGCTCTGAGGGTGCAGAAGACAAATCACGAAGCATATTATCGATGTGAATAGTAACACTATCAGCATTTGGCTCAGACATATTTATCTGTCTCAAATAAATTTATAATGCTGGTTAGAAATCTGAAAACACAACGTTGATTTGCAATCATTAATCCAATATGTATACAACTTATTGCATAAAACTTGTTCTATAGTAATATGATAAACTCACTCATTTAAAAACAAGCCAAAATTCTGGACAGTGGTTCGTTCGTCTTCGTCGTGTTAAATCACGTCTACAAACACCGTAAGTACTGTGGCGGGTTTGCACGACGATTCAATCTGTAAGATATTATAGTATCCTTTTCTAAGGAAATGAATGCAATTTTCAACTTTGGCTAGTAAGGCTCATTGTTGGTTTTCCACAAGACAAAATGCTTGCAGAACCAAGAAAGCTACACACAAGAATATTTGTTAAGAGAGTATTTATAGGCTAAGATGTGATGTAATTTCCTTGTTTCTTCGTTCACATAAGTCAAAATTCTGTCCATAAAAGATATATTATTTGAATATAATTTATGCTTGCTATTTTTCCAATAATATATAGGTCTAGTCTACTAGTCAACATAATTAAATTGGAAGAGTTTGTTAAACATTTCTATTTAAACGTCAACAGTAGACTGACACCTGTTCAAAGCATATTTTCTTTTTTTCCTCACCAAACACAGATATGTACAATTTAAGCTTTCCTAATCACTCATAAATTTTACTTCTCTTTTTTTTATTTTATTTTTTATTTTTTGTGTGTGTTTAGAGAATATTAACCTCCCTTTGGTAAAATTTATAAACTTTCAAATTTCATTTTCAATTACTGATTTCAGTGGACCAACAGGAAAAATTCAATTATTAACTACTCATTTTTATTTATTTACCAATAGATGCGTTGATTGGGTGCAACTCTTCAAATATAAAAGGAGCATAATAAAAAAGTCATGACATTTTATCTAGGTCCAATCTAGACCATCAATCATGAAATGATATGATGTGACCTATTGTTTAAATTAATTTGTGCCAAAATATACAGCCATTAATTCAAAGAGATACATGAAAATCTTTACATGGAATCATCCTAATTCCATTTTATTCAATCCAAATCAATTGATTTCTAGTTCATTCTTTCTCCAAATTCTGTCAAAATGATTTTCAAATTATTTCTGAGTTTCATGTTCGATATTTAATATTCGAGATTTTTAGAAGAGTGCAATCAAGCATTGGTTCGGCCAACAAAAGTAATATGTGCTATGTTAATTTTAGAAGAAATATTGTATCTTGAGACAAAAGTCCATTTAACCCTATTAGCATCAATGCAGGGGATGAAATCCGTCTTAACGGGATTTTCTAAATGTGAGTAAGTCATCATGTTTTCTATGCACGTATCTTAGTTTCAGTAAGTTGAAACTCGATTTGATATACTGACTAGTAAGTCCCAATTTTAATCGTACTTGCATGCACATATTTTTGGTTAAAAGGAATATAATTCATACACAAATATTTCCAATAATCTTAAGACGGAGTCTTTTCTTGCTTATTTATATTATGTTTATGCATTGTTTATTACATATTGAAAGTTACTAGTTTAACCTTAAAATCACCTAGAGGGGAGTGAATAGGTGAATAAAGCGGAATTAAAATTATCAATTAAAAGCAACAAGTCACTTTTTAATTATTCTAAATGTTTGCTCAATTTTATCATGAGTTGAATTACCACAATAGTAAATGAAGTAGTAAATAACACAAGACTTGTTGTCCTTCATGGGACTAAATACTTTGGGACTAAGCAAGTGACTTACACTATAGACAATAAGAAATTATAGTATGATCCAGCCTCTAATATTCATTGGACTCGCTGATCTAATTCTTGTAATCTCCAAAACCAACAGGAACGTGTTTCACTCAACCTACTTTTGATTTTCTGGAATCATCTATCTCTGTGGATCACCAAAAAACTCCTTGCTCTTGTACTCAACCTGTTCTTCTGGTCCAACCTCAATTTTCAGCAACCTCTGAAAGTTATTGAGAAAGTACTTTCTTGATTATATTTAGGAAGTGTGTGTTTTGGATTATATGATTTTGATATTTTCTCACACTTGTGGTTATTTGGTCTCAGGATGTGGAATTGTTATTTGATCTCCAAATGATGCTATGAATGTAGCATATAACAATCAATCATACTTTTTCACAAAGTGAGACTTGTGTATTTATAGTCCAGAGGTATTGGGGTAGTACACAATGGATAGAGCTGGAAAATCGCAAACTATGGTTTCTTAGAAAACAGTGTCACTCATGCATCAGGCGAGCGATGAACACGGGGTTTTCTTGCCCAAGTGTATCTTGTCTTTACCACGAATCATTTTCCTTCCTTAACAATAATTGTTATTTCAAGCAACACTGGGGAACATTGATTTTGTTTTAGATGCTCGAGCTTCAACTTGGCAATAGGCTAGCATAATTCCAATGACTCTTTCGGCATGTCCATACTCAAACCCAAAGACTCCTAGTTCATTTGTACAATATTCCAACAAACTCCTTGACTTTTACAACTCTTTTACAATAATCTCTGTCTAAAGAATAGTCAATATAATTGAAACTTAACACATAGTATGCCGTAGAAATCAAATTTACCATCTAAAAATTTGGGCAATTTGATCGCTTGCATTCTGATTCCTGTACAGTTTATTTTCAGTTGTTAAATGGAAATTTGATGGTGTATCTTCACATTATATACCTTTTTGTTCTCCCATGCATATGATTATGTGTTGCATTAAAAAATTTTCACATGTTCGCGAAATATAATAACTATTTATTATGGGTAATTAGTACAAGACGTTGTTACATTTCATTTTAAATATTTTCACCCCTATTTTTACATTTCATTGAGAAAAATGTTATTTTCGTCCAATTTCTCAATAAAAATGTAAAATGGCAAATATATCATCCTATTTAAATAAAACAAAAAAAGAAAAGAAAAATCAAAGAAAAAAAATTTAATTACACTCCCAAACATTTTTAAAAACTGCAAATGAGAACAAATAGATTGTTAAAAGGGTAATTAGCACAAACTATCCATACCTTTCAATATTATTATACAAAACGTCCTTACTTTTCATTTTTGGCACTTTCGCCCTTATTTTCACATTTCATTGTGAAAATCATTATTTTAATCTATTTTCTTAATTAAAAACTATAAAATGACAAATAAAATCTCCTATATTTAAATAAAACAACAACAAAGAAAAGAAAATTAAAGAAAAATTGCAACTATACTCCCAATTTTTTTTTTAAAAAAAGTACAAATAAATAATTAAAACAAAAGTGGTTTTTTTTTAAATTTTTTGTTCTTAATTACTTATTTGAATTTATTTGTACTTTCATGAAAAAATTGGGAATATAGTTGCAATTTGATCTTTATCTTTATTTTTATTTTTGTTTTATTTAAATAGGAGGACATATTCATGATCTTAAAATGTTTAATTGAAAAAAATGGATGAAAATGATGATTCCATAATGAAATATAAAAATAAGGGTGAAAGTGCTAAAAAATGAAAATTGAGCCTTTTTGCATAATAATATTGAAAGGAAAGCACGTTTTGTGCTAATTACCCTTTTAATAATTTATTTAAACTCATTTGCATCTTTAAAAGTTTTGAGATTTGTTCTTTAATTTTTCTTTTCATTTTTTTATTTAAATAGGGGTATAATTGTTATTTCATATTTTTTTGTTTAGAAATTGGATGGAAATGACCTTTCTCGCAATGAAATGTGAAAATAGGGGTAAATATGCTAAATATTGGAGGGTATGGACATTTTGCACGATAACATTGAAAGGCAAAGAAATTTTGGGCTAATTACCTATTTATTATCCCTAGTTGATTCAAGATGCTTATGGTTGAAGGAACAATGAGCATATTGCATTTGGAAAAAAATTGCATAAAACCATTTTCAATCTTCGGGTTTCTGAAAATTAATTAAAAATGCATGTAAGTGTCTATTGGTTTGAAAGGGGATGAGTCTTCACAATACAGTTAAATTCATGTCTATTCATTTGTGGTTAATTTTTTTAATGAAAAGAAAAGGCATATGAACTTGCCCAAAAGTATTGTGTAGTCTGTTATATTTTTCCATTTGTTGTATATTATGCATTTTTTTCAGAAGAATCATGATGGAAAAGAAAGTCAAGGGAAATTGCATAAACTTTGCAATAATTCGGCAGTGGCAATTTCCATAAAACAGTAAAAACATTTGTTTATTAAATAGGTAGTGTACAGAACTAGAAAGAAATCACTTCTCATCAGATAATTATAAAATTCTTTTCTTCTTGCTGTGATTCGTAAATTTTTGAAATAAGCCTTCAATGTTTAATTTTGCAAGGTTATGTGATTCAAATATATCTTTTTTATGAATATATTGTAATCTCAGAATAGTTTTTGGCACTTTAAAATGCTAGAAAATAAGGAATACCTTCATGGAAACTACTTCGTGAGGTAAATGAAACTAGATGGCACTAGCCACTAGGAACTCATTGGTAAAACGTCACTATATTGATGTAATATTTGCTTCAGTATTGGAAAATTAGATTAAAAGCAAATGCAGAGGGCGTAGAAATGGAGTGCAGTAATTAATTCTACAAATAGGAATCGGGGTGTCAATGCTGAATTTATACGCTCATTAAGCTCAAGAAATCTATGGTTTGTTGCCATTAGGTAACTGATTTTATGTGTCTACTCATTCTGACAAGTTCAACAACTCTTCAATTCAGAAATGAGTTATGTTGATCGTCAATATTATTGATATTTTAATTAAAATTAACTTGAGCTTTTTGGGCCAAATTAATGCAGCAAGATGTTTTAGTTAAATTTAGACCAATATCTTGTTATTACTATGTGCAATGTTTATATATCTCACTCGCCTGTTTGAAAATTCCAGTCATGTTTTGATTGTCATTGTAGCGATGGATTGTGGTGTCTATTTTGAAGATGGACAAATTTTCTTGAAGCTATAGAAATGTTCAAAAGAAATAAAAGAACCGCTGAAAATGAGAAAAAAGTTGCTTCTCATTTCCAAATTGGCAGACTTATATATGAAAGTTTTTAGACTATTAGACTTTCATGAGATATTGGCATTTTTATTCATTTTATATGTAGATTATAAGTGGAATTAATTGTTTATCCTATAGATAAATATAATTAACGATAAGATTGAACTTTATATAGTTAGGTGAACATTATATTGCTAAGCTGAGTCTTACCTGTAGGGTGTGATTGTTTTAGGCATAATTGAATGCACCCCAAAATTTGTGGGGGACGACGTTGCTTTCTTCAAATTAGAATTTGAATATTTGAAGAAATTTTGATATGAACAACTGCACTACAGTGAATAGG